ACAAAATGAATTGGAGATAATCAGCAGAGGAAAGGTATGTGAATGTCATGGAATAATAGGGAATACAGAACAATATGGTTTCATAACAAATGAAAAGTATGATGGTTTCAGAGAAACATAGGAAGACTTTTATGAACTGATATAGAGGGAAATAAGCAGAACCAGAGGAAAAATATGCATAGTAAAGAGAGTAATATAAATGAAAACAACTTTGAAAGACCGTGATACTCCCATCAAAGTCACAAACAATGGTAATTTTAAGAGATAGAGGGCAAAACACCGTTTCTGCCTCTTGACAGAGATAATGGACTTGGTGCATGATGAAATATTCTCAGATGTGATCAATGTATTGATTTGTTTCTCTGGATTATATATTTATTTATTTTGTCCCCGGAAGGGCTTCTTTTGAGGTGGGTGGTGGTAGAGTATTAGGTAGTGACATATAAAAAAGAGCATCAGTAGAACATTTTTAAATTTACTAAAGAAAACAAAAAAGTATAGAAGTAGTCACAAAGCAGTTTTGTTTTACTGCTTTGTTAAATTAAGAATATGTTATATATGTAAATATATATTCAGTCTAATGAGGTTGTAACAAAATTGCTATATTTGTGCATGCTTTTGTACTTTTTGGTTTTCTTTTGTGTATCTATTATATATGTATCTAGTAGATATGTATCTATTAGATAAAAATATATTATCTATTAGATGCATATATAAATACATTATCTAATATAGATGATATATCTAGTAGATACATATGAATATATTATTCAATAATACATTGTTATCATCTCTATCTATGTATATATACACTATGTATACTATATCACACACACACTTGAAGAAACTGGATGTGACAGTTTGGTTTCTTATCAGCCTCTTTAGTCTTTGTACATTAAGATGTTTGTATTTGTTGATGGTGAAGTTTATGATAAAAAGGAAAAATTAACTAAGACAAGAAAAAAAAGAAAGGAAAAATTTGAAGTTCGCCCATCTTTAGTTGTTTCTCCAGTGATTGTGGGTTGTGAGCACATTTGGCCAGGCCACACTGACTTTTGCTGTGAAGGACTGGGAGTGAGGAAGGAAGGGTGGCACTGTTAGCTGTTGACTTCTGTTGGAAGGTGGAAGAATATTCTGAGGCAGTGGAGAAGTAACAGAGCTAAGACTAGACGTTTGTGTGCCCCAAGCAAAGTCTGAGAATTACACAAGCCTGCTCCCGTTTGAAGCTTGTCCATTGTGTCCTGGTAGGCCTAGGTGGTAGAATGTAATTGGAAGGGACATTGGAGGTCACCTAGTCCAATCCTTTCTTTTAATAGATGGAATAACTGAGGTCCAGCCAAAAGAAATGACTTGCCCTAAGGTTACATGGTTAATAAATAGCGAAGTTAGGTCCTTGCATTCTGAATCCAGCGCTCTTTTATCTGCACTATGGAATATCTGGATTTCAGCAGTACATTTGGCAAAACTACTTTGATATCCTTTTGGACAAGATGGTAACATATGGGTTGGTTGATAGCGCATTTAGGTGGTTTTGAAATTGATCATTTGGACTTCAAATACATTAATTACTGGACCAGTGTTAAGTGGGAGGGAGTTCTGGACTAGTAGGCCTTAGGGCTTTGTCCTTGGTCCTGACATGTTCACTATTTTCCTCCACATCTTGAATGAAGATATAGTGTGCCTATTAGATTTGTCATCCAGAGATGGGCAGGACAGGTGATGTGTTATGTTGGGTGGCATGATCCAGTATGTTCAGAAGTAGCCTGGTGAAGTGGATAGACCCCTGGACTTAGAGTCAGGAAGCCTTGGGTTTGAATCCTGCCTCAGAAGTTTCTCATGTATATGACCCTGGGCAAGTCACCTCACCTACATCTGCCTCAGTTTCTTCATCTTTAAAATGGATATGATAATAGCATCTAGATCCCAGGGTTGTTAGAAGGATCAAATGAGGTAACATTTGTAAAGTGCTTTGCAAACATTAAAATACTGTATTAATATCTAATGAGATAATTAGTCATCATTTACTAAGTGCCTACTATGTGCCAGGTACTGTGCTAGCTGCTGGGGATATGAAGAAAGGCAAAACATAGTCCCTGTTGTCAAGGTGCTCAAAGTCTATCAAAGCTCACTGCAACTTTAAAGTGTGGCCGCATTGCTAGTTATGAGCACGAGGAAGGTGATAGTGATGATTTCGACAGTGACAGCAATGGCTACAACAACATTGGGCCAGAGCTAAAAATGTGAAATTTAGCAGGGATCAGAATAAAATTCATCTTCCATTCAATTTACCTCCCCACCCCTGCCACCCCCCATTTATATGGGAACGGGCTAGTAGAGACTCAGTTTAATAGTAACTCATGTATGAAGACCTGGGATGTTCTTTGTGGATCAATATGTTACCATAATGCAAACCACCAATGGGATGAGGTGGTTATAAAAGCTCCCGTAACCTTAGTAGAAGCTCAATGTTCAGGTTACAAAAGGTGCCAGACAGTCCCACTGCCTTCTGCCCTGGTCAGAAGCATTAATTAAGTACTTACTGTCTTCCGGGCACTGTGCTGTGTACTGTGTGTGTTTGGGTTTGAGGTCTCTGTCGTCCTTCTCTGTCTCAGTCTTTGTCTCTATCTTGTTTAGACCTAGTTGTTTGCATTTTGTCTCCCCCATTAGATTGTGAGCTGCTTGAGGGCAGGACTATCCTTGCCATTCTTTGTTGTCCCAAGCACTTGGCCCAGTGCTTGGCATAGCAAGCACTTCATAAATATTTATTAATTGACTGACTAAATTTATAATCCTAAGTTCCTACAATATCAGCTCTGAGGATTTATAAGCCTTCTAGAGGCTGGCCATTATAGATACCCAGAAATTGAGACTGAGACAATCTCTGTCCAGTTTGGGAGATGATGCCAGAGAGTGTTTAGAAAGCCTTAAGTTCTAATTATTCTCACTTCAGGCTATTTAGCCCCTGGGTTTTGGAGAAGTGCGTAGTCTCCTATCTCACATTCTTTCTGCTATACTATTCTGAATTTCAAGTAAAGGATAACATAATAACCCAAATTATGTTTTGTATGCCAACTTGTATTGTCTCTTTTTCCCTAAGACATTCCTTTCTAAGAGCATAACCACTGAATCTGCCATATTTGTGTATTAATTATTTAGTTATCTTTATAGAGGGAGGTATGTGCTCCATCTCCTCTAGGATTGTGACCCTGCTCCCTGCCAGGAGCACTAAGAGATGGGAATGATTGAGTAGCCATCAGCCGAAAAGGGCTGAGATTGGATGTTTTCAAATCATTCTAGTCTCTCTGTCTCTCATTTCATCTATATGAGGAAGTCCCTAGTGTGGAAACTCCATCTACCAGTACAGGTCAACACGCACTCTGTACTCTATATTCTTAGAGACAGAGAACATGAGAGGTCATATGATTTATACATGGTCACAGAGCTAGTGTGTGTCAGGCAGGGTTTGAATCTTCTTGACTCCCAGGTAACTCTCTCTCCACTCAACCATATTACCTCTCTAGCTTCTCTCAGTTGCCCATTATAGGGTTAGGTGAGTTGATCCGTCGGGTTTCTAGAAGCCTTAACATACTGAGATTCTCCAGCTGTTGGTGACATTCTGCCCACATGTATCCTTAGTGAATGGTATTAACTCTAAAACCTTGGTCAGGTGTGATTTCTTCTCACTAAGAACCATTAGCTGTTCTAGGCCTACCTTGCTTCAGTGATATCTCCATTCCATAGAGGTAGGCACATCGAGATGTCCTCTGCCCAGAGCTGGACCAATGCCCAGGCAGGTATGTAGGTAGGTAGGTAGCTGTTAAGGGTACAACATGCAGGAAGATGCAGAATGAGGGAAATTTTTTCAAGGGACTTTTTATTAAGTATCCATAATTTTAGTGGCAGAAAATTCTGCCTTCTGGCCATGTTAGTATTTATTTTGTGACAAATCCAGTTGCATATGTTACAGTTAAGACTCAAGGCTTTTGTGGACGGTAACATTTAGACAAGGCAATTTAAAATCTTATCTAGTGTTCACAAAGCTTTGTTCTCTCTGTATTTGTTTCATATTTGCTTCCAAGCTCCTGGAGATTAGGAGCCATGGGTGTATTATGGGATTCTTGTGGTCTGTCCCACAGGCAGAGTGCCATCCTTGATTTGACAGCAGTAACAGCAGTAGTAGTAGTGATGGTGGTGGTGGTGATGATAATAGTGGTATTAATTAATAATAATGATAATAATGAAAGCTAGCATTTAGTTGTGTGAGCGTTTTGATACTTACAAGTGGGCAAGACTTTGCCTGGAAATTCAAAGCATCAGTTTATTTCCAAATGGAGTTTTAATTAGGAATTTTTAGGCCCAGGGCAAAACACTGCAAACCCTGCCCAGGGTAAGAACAAAAAATGTTCTCCCTTGGGAATTGGGGTTGGAGCATCACCATGTGGTGTGGACATAGAAACCTAGGACGCTGGCAAAAAGCTGAGGAATGGGAGAAAGAAGTTTTCTTTTTGCTACCCAGTTAATGAGCTTTGTTTGTGCAGTGCTGTGGCAAATCCTGTCAGTGCTCTCTAAATTTGCTACCCTGTGGTTAAACCCTGATTACTGAACTCTCTTTATAGCATTGATTCAACAAATATTTACAGAGGGTCTTATATGGGCTCAGTTTTGTGCAAAGCATTGGGGATAGATGGAAATAATGCACAATGTCTGGTCTTGGGGCAGATGCTTTGAGTATTTTAAGAGGGACTTGGACAAATGCATCCAGAGGGAGCAATCAGAGCGCTAAAGGGTCTGGAAAACGTGGAGTATGAGGAATGGTGGAAGGAAATGGGGGTCTTTAGTCTGGAGGAGAGAAGACTTTTTTGGGGGATATAAATGATAGCTGGCTTAAATATTCGAAGGACTAAAGCCCCTCGAGGGGAATAGCTACATTCAGGTGTAACCAACAGTGCCTGTTGCCGCCAACGCTGGCCTAACGCCCCGCTTTCTTGCTTTGCCTGCAGAAATCCGGACTCAGTTGGCCGAGCAGTTTAAATGCCTGGAGCAGCAGTCCGAGTCGAGGCTGCAGCTGCTGCAGGACCTCCAGGAGTTCTTCCGAAGGAAGGCAGAGATCGAGCTCGAGTATTCCCGCAGCCTGGAGAAGCTGGCCGAGCGTTTCTCCTCCAAGATCCGTGGCTCCCGAGAACACCAGTTCAAGTAAGCGGATCGATGCCTCTGACCTTGCGGTCCACTTGGTTTGCCTTGGAGGCACGAGGGCTCTCTGCCTTTCTGGGTGGCCTCAGGCGGGTAGAATTAAGAGCTTGCTTATGTCTTGTGGATGGCACATGTTGTGGCCTCAGTTTCCTCTTCTTTAAAGTAAATGGGTTGGACTAGACACTACTGCTGATGCTGCTATTGCTAGTAGCTCACATTTAGTACTTAACCTTTTTTTAAAATAAGGTCTTTTTTATCTTTTTTTAAACATCACTATAATTTTCTTCAGTATTCCTCCTGTTCCCAGAAAGCCATATAACATATAGTTATCTCATATAACAAATAGTATTTTTAAAAACAACAAGAAGGAAAAAAAAAATCAGCATAACTCATCAGTACCTTGACAGAATCTGAAAATATAGGCAGTGTGAAACATCTGTGGGCCTTTACCTCTTTAAAGAATGGATTTGGGAGTGTCTTCTCTTATATTGTCTTTCCAGCCATATTTCTTCATAATTTTGCAACATTCACTTCTTATTTTGTGTGTAGTTTTTTTCGCCATTTACATTGTTGTAGTGATTGTGTGTATTGTTTTCCTGGCTCTGTTTACTTCACTCTGCATCAGTTGATAGAGATTTTTCCATGCTTCTCTGGATTCATCACTCACGTCATTTCTTACAGCACAGTAATATTCTACCACATTTACATACCACAGTTTACTTAGCCATTCCTTAATCAATGGATGTTGACTTTGTTTCCAATTCTTTGCTGTTACAAAAAGTGATGTTATGAATATTTTGGTGTATGAGGAAACTTTTTTTTCTTATGGCTTCCCTGGGGCATAAGCCTAGTATTGGAATTTCCGGGTCACATTTAAAGTATTTTCTGCAAAGCAACCCTATGAAATTGAGAAAGACAGCATAATATGGCAGATAGGACACTGAACTTGAAGCCAGGAAGACTTGGGTTTAGTCCAGCCTCAGACATTTACTAGATGGGTGACTTTGGGTAAATTACTCAACCCCTCTATGCCTCAGTTTCCTTATTTGTAAAATGAAAAGATTGGACCAGATGGGTTCTAAGGTCCCTTCAGCTCTAATGTATGATTCTATCATTCTATGAGGTAGATAATCAGAGGTAACTGACTTGCTGAAAGTCACATAGGCAGCTAAGAGGTACAGTGGATAGAGTGCCAGGCCTGGAGTTAGGAAGACCTGAGTTTGAATCTAGCCTTGGACACTTAACTAATTGTGTGAGCTTGAGCAAGTCATTTAAACACTGTGTGCCTCAGTTTCCCCATCTTTAAAATAGGGATAATAATAGCACCTACCTTCTAAGGTTGTTTTGAAGATAAAATAAAATTATACTGGTGAAGTGCTTTGCTAACCTTAAAGCACTTTGGAAATTCTAGCTATTATTTTTGTTACATGTTTTTAGAACCTTATAATTAAGAATTGGTTCTTAAAGAGATCCCAAAAGAGGCTCAATGCTATTACATTTGAATGTAAATTTTTCATCAGTAGGGATTGTTTCATTCTTTACATTGTATTTTCAGTGCTTAACACAGTGCTGGGCACATAGTAGGTGCCTAATAAATGCTTGTTGATTGATTCCACCTGTTTTCAGGAGGGCTCATCTCTTTCCTTTTCCATTTTGGCTGTGAATAAGCCATCTTGCTTCGGTCCCTGGCCTGGGTGCTGAGTTTTTCTGTTGCTTCCTCCTCCTCTTAACTCCAGCACCAAGCCTGGAAGGGTTTGAGAACTGTAGAAGCAAAGCCTTTTGGCTTCTGCCCCCTCCCCACCCCTAGATGTGCAGGCAGGATACTGCTAACCGCATTCTTGCTGCATTTATCCTTGGAGTTCCTCACTGTAATTACTATCCCCTTTCTAATTCATTCTCTCTGCTCTAGTCACCCTGCCTAGAGTTTCCTCTTCTTCCCTCTTCCTCTCTCCATTGACTAGCCCTCAACCACAGGGTCAGGGTGACTTTCCTCCTTCCACCCCAATCCGCCCCACCCCCAAGATTTAAGCCATTGCCTTGTCTGTGTTTCATCCTCTTGGTCTGGTCTCAAACTGCCTTCAGCTGCTCCTACCTTGCACTGGGGCGGGGACTTCCTTCTCCTCTGCTTGCCTATGGTCCTCAGAGTCTTTTAGCCTTAATCCACATCTGGACTTCTAATGATTTCATTTATGCTGAATTTGTCTCTCCAGCTAAATCATCAACTCTGTGAAGGCAGGGACCTCAGCTTATATTCTTCCTGTATATTCCTAGCATTCAAATCAATTAAACAAGTCTTTTAAAAATATTGAGTATGTGACAGATACTGAGATACGTGTTGGGGACAAAAAGGCAAAAGTGAAGCATTTTCCTCATGAGCAGTCTGTGTACTAGATGGGACAGGAGAGTTGTCAGCTAGATGGCATAATGCATGGGGTGCTGGACTTGGACCCTGGGCAAGTCACTTAACTTTGCCTCTGGGCCTCAGTTTCCCTACTTCTAAAGTGGAGATAATAATTGCATTTATCTTTAGGGTTACTGTGAGAATATGAGATAATATATGTAAAGTGTCTTGCAAACCCTAAAGTGCTATATAAATGTTAACTATTATTATTGCTGCAATTAATTAATTAATTAATTAATTTATGTTGAGGCTGCTGGGGTTAAGTGACTTGCCCAGAGTCGCATAGCTAGTGAATGTTATGTGTCTATGGCTGGATTTGAACTCGGGTCCTCCTGACTCCAGGGCCTGTGCTCTATCCACTGTGCCACCTAGCTGCCACATGCTTTTATTATTATTAATGAGTTAATACTTAATAAAAGAAAAAAATTGTTAAGCACCTACTATAAGCTAGCTTCCAGGCTAAGTGCTTTTCGAATATTACCTCACTGTATCCTCACAACAACCCTGGCAGGCAGGTAGGTATTATTACCCTCATTTTACAGATGAAGAAATTGAGGCAGACAGAGGTTAAGTGAATTGCCCAGGGTCACACAGCTGGTGAGCTAATGCCATGTTTGAACTTAGGTCTTCCTAACTCCAGGCCCAGTGCCACCTAGTTGCCACTAAAGATAAGTAAGGACTCTTTAAGGTAGTACCTAGCTTCCCTTGAAGACTTCAGATCACTAGGTCCAGATAAACAATGTTCTTACCTACTGAAAAAACTTGCAGATATCATTATTCATCTCTGTAAGTGATATTTGAAAGATCATAGTGAATGGGAGTGCCTACAAGATTGGAGAAGGACAAATGTCCTCATGTTCAAAAAAGGGAAGAGAACAGAGCATGCAAAGCAATGAGTCAATAAGCTTAATTTCAATTCCTCAGAAAACTCTAGAACAGATCATTAAATGATGAATGTCTAGAAAGGAAAGTGGTGGTTACAAAGAGCCAATCTGGCTTCATCAAGAACAGATCATGCCAGACTAGCTTCATTTCCATTTCTGGCATGGTTAATAGGCTGCTTGATTGGAGAAGGAGAGTGCTGTGGTTATAGTTTATCTACATTTTAGCAAAGCTTTGGATAAAATATCTCATCCTGTTCTTGTGGAGAAGATGGAGAGTAGGTAATACATACAATTCAATGGATTGAAAATGGGTTGGATGCCTGGAGTCAAAGAGTAGTTATTCATTGTCAACATAGCAAGAGCTGAGTATCCTGGAGATTTGTGCCGTTCCTGTGCTGTTTAATAGTTTTATCAATGACTTGGATAAAGGCATTGATGGCATAATCATCACCTCTGCAGAGCACACAAAGCTGGGAGGGAATAGCTAACACATTGGAAGAGTCAGGCTCTGAAGAGGTCTTGAGTAACTAGAGTATTGAGTTAGATCTCATAAGATGAACTTCAGTAGGGATAAATGTAAAAGACTTATACCTGGGTCCAAAAAATCAACTTCACAGGGAACTGGAGATGCAAAGACTCAGAAGCCACATGATAGTTGTCTTCAGACATTTGAAAGGGCTGTCAGGTGGAAGATGGAGTTCACTTTTTCTGTTTGTCCCCAGAAGACATTGACAGGTTCAGTGGATGGAAGCTGCAAAGAGGTAGATTCAGCCTTCATGTCAGGAAAACCTTCATAATTAGTCCAAAAGGTGAATGGGCTGCCCACCACAGAGTGTGGTTTTTTTAACCACCTTGGATATTTTCAAGTGGTATTCTTTTTATATATTGGTTGGATTAGATCAGGGGTTTTTAAACCTCTTTTGTAAATCATATTAGGCCTATTCTCAGAATAGTGCTTTCTTTTCTGTAAAATTCATCATTGAAGGAAATTAGTGAAAATAAAGATGATATATTTTTTTCTCCATCCAAGTTCATGGACTCCCCTGAAATTAATCTAGATCTAGAGATCCTTTGGCTGGGTGGAGGTTGTCTGTGGACCCCAGGTTAAGAACTTTTGCACTAGACGGATTCTCTCAGCTTCTGTGAGTCTGAGATGCTGTAGCTCCAGAGGGTGAGGTATCTAATTAACACTTGGTTGCTGAAGGATTTTTTGTGGAATTGTGTGGTTAGGAGGGAGAAGACTGACCTAGATTTAAGCATTGAGCCCTTCTCTATCTTTGTCTGAGTCAGGGATCCCAAGTGTGGAATTTCTCAGTGAAGATTCAAAGAACTTCATATCTTTGTAAACTTGATGGTTTTAGTTTCTATAGAATATATTCTGTATAATTATTATTATTACTATTATTATTTTGAATGGAGATAAAAGGAACTCCCAGTGAGGAGCTTCCTCTGAGGATACAGATGAACAGAGCCTTTATAATTCATAGTCTTAGAGAGTGGCCTGGGGACCAAGAGAGATTTAATGACTTGCCCAGAGTCACAGAACTAGTAAGAATAAAAGTTAGGACTTGAACCTAAGTCTTCCTGATTGAAAGGCCAGCATTTGATGCACTATAATATGTAGCCTCTCATGATGGTATTACATGCTATGTTATAATAATATTATCTGCTATTTTTTCCTATAATTTCCTGGTAAAGTTTCATACCCCACCCCCCAA